CTTCCTCTCTCTTCCCTCCACCTTCCCTCCCTTTCCCCCACCCTCCCCTCCCTTCCCTCCAACCTCCCCACTTCCTTACCTCCACCCTCCTCTCTCTTCCCTCCACCTTCCCCTCCCTTCCCTCCACCTTCCCTCCACCTTCCCCTCCCTTCCCTCCACCTTCCCTCCACCTTTCCCTCGATCCACAATACCCGGCACTCTACTGGTCACCGCCTGCGCCAACTTTGACCTGCGTCTAGAAAGGAACGACAGAGCAAGCAATTCCGACCCTTACCGCATATCACTTTATAACTACATATAACCTTGTATCTTAGTTATACTCAAAATGTTTGTTAGAAAATCCTTATTCTGAATCATTATGTTTGTAGTCATTAATACTAACAATACTGTACTTATCAGATGTTCACGATTTAATTGTACTGGCATATTCAGTATCCCCTTCCAAACACTTGAGCACAGGAACCTATAAAAGAGAGAGTCTGCACTGACACTCCTCCTAAAGATTAATGTTTTCCATTTTCTTGTGTTTAGTGACAATTCAAACTATATCATACAAAAACGACCTGTGATCATCTCAAAACCTCTGAGCCGAAATCACTCAGCATCGGCTCGGTCAACATCTCACCACACGAACCACTCACCCTCGTGGGCATGGCAAGGCGCTCCTGCCTGGACGTCTCTGCCAGGCCTGTCCTCTGCACTCTAGCTACCGAAATCCCTAAAGCACAGAGACTGCCACGACTTTAACTCAACACCCGAGAAACAATCCAGCAGTACCATTCAAGACAAGTCCTCCTCACACCGTTATATTACATTGGTGACAGAGCACTGGGATAACGCCCGCGCATTATTACAGTGGCGGGAGCAAGTGAGACAGCCTCCACACACATTACACTGGTGATAAACTAGGGGGATACACTTCCTGCTATATATTACATTCTCCACCCTCCCTTCCCTTTACGTTCTGCTCTCTCGTCCCTTCCCTCCAACCTCACTTTCTTCTACCCTCCCTCCGCCTTTCCTTCCCCTCCCTCCACCTTCCCTTCCCTTCCCTCTGCCCTCCCTTCTCTCTACCTTCCCTCCCTCCAGCTTCCCTCCCCACCCTCTATCCTCCCCTCTCTTCCCTATACCTTCCCTCCCCTCCCCACCCTCCACCTTCCCCTCCCTTCCCTCCACCCTTCCCCTCCCCATCCTCCACCCTTCCCTCCACCCTTCCCCTCCCTTCCCTCCACCTTCTCCTCCCTTCCCTCCACCCTCCCGTCCCTCCACTTCCCCCTCCCCCCTGCACCCTTCCCTTCCCGTCCCTCCACCCTTCCCTTCCCTCCCCTCCACCCTCCCCTCCCTCTACCACGCAGTCGAGCCTACATCCAAATCCCACCAATATATATATATTTTATTTCCAAAACACACAGAAGCAATCACGACAACAAAATCGGACAGCGCCATCTCTCGCTCGCTTCCCGCACTTATTTTTGGCCGAACTTCGCATTCAGATTTTGTTTCGTTTTCACGCATGCGCAGAGCTGAGGAGTGAGGGGGAGGGAGAGGAAGGGAGAGAAGGAGAGAGAGGGAGGGAGAAAGGGAGAGATGGAGGGAGGGAGAGAGAGGGGGGAGGGGGAGAGGAAGGGAGAGAGAAAGGAAGGGAAGGGGAGGGAAAGAGAGGAGGAGGAGATGGATGTTCGAGGAAAGGGGGGAGGAAGTGGAAGGGAAGGGAGGGGGAGGGGTGGGAGGGAGAGAGAGGGGGGATGGGCAGGGCAGAATGAATGATGTTTAAAAAGAGAGACTAAAAAAAGAAGTAAAAAGGGGAAATACAGAGAGAGAGTAAAAGAGAGAGAGACAGACAGAGCGAGAGAGAGAGAGAAAGAGAGACAGACAGACAGACAGAGAGAGAGAGAGAGAGAGAGAGAGAGAGAGAGAGAGAGAGAGAGAGAGAGAGAGAGAGAGAGAGAGAGAGAGAGAGTGAACCGACAAGCCTGATAACATGATTGAACACTGGGGGAAGGGGATTCTGGCAATCTTTTTATCTGTCTCTCTGTCATATATATTTATATCAGTCTATCTATCTGCCTATCTATCTCCAATGTCTATCTATCTATATATCTTTGTTTTTATCTGTATTTTACTCACCTATTTTTTTTTTTCCTTTCTTTACATTTTGTTTCGCATTTCTTTTCCGTCTTAGCATTTTCCCTTTTTCCTTTTTTTAAATCTCTCTTTTTAAATTTTATCCTCCCTCCCCATCTCGTTCTTCCCTACCTATCCCCCCTATCTTCCCTCACTCACCCCTCACCCTCCCTTCCCTCTCTCTTCCTCCCCATCTCCCCCTCCTTTCTCCTCTCCCTTTCACTTAATACCCTCTTCCTCTCCCTACCCCTCCCTCCCCATCCCTCCCACCCTTCCCCCTCCCCCTCCCCATATCCTCCTCTCCTTCCCTCCCCCTCTCTCCCCTCTCTCTCCCTCCAATCCCTATCCCCACCTAACCTCTTCTCTCCCCCTTGCT